GATCATCAATCTACAAAAAAAAAAACAAAAACTGAACATCTTTTTGAACACACTGTACTATGTCCGTGAAACATGAAATTTAGAAATTCAAAGAGAATGATTATTATGAATTCAAAGTTTGAAAAAGCTATGGTCCGAAAAAACTCACGAACTCTTGCCTAAACTCATGATTTTGAGCACCAGTCAGGTAGCGAACATGATTTCACGTCTATTTTTCACTTGAAAAGCTCCTTATTTTTTCTTCTTTGAATTTTTTTACTTGAAAAGTTCCATTTTCCCTCATTTTTTTCACTCCGAAAGTTCTCCTTGTTTTTTTTTTTTTTTACAAAACTCACATATGAAGTGATGAGCGGTGACAGACTGTCCAGTTCATCAACAGCCGCGAGATTTGTGAGTTTACGAGGTGCGAAGAAGAACGTTTCGCCTTCATCAAGTTGCATTCGCGATGAAAATTCGGGCTCATCATCCTCGTCACCCAAATGTGCGATCTGGTAAAGATGGCTGAAAAAAAAAGAACAAAAATTCATTTGTAATTCGGAAGTAGCCTGAATGACAACAGAAACAGCAATAATCGCGCTGCCTGTGACTTCTTCGCTGAATTTTTCGTACGCAATAGCACCAAGCAGATTGCAGCCTCCAGGTTAACCCTGGAAGTACAGATGGCAGAATGTGAAGGAGTTAGGAGAAAGTAGTAGAGTAGATTGGAGAAGGTGAGAGCGAGATAAGACGTTTCGTCTATTAAGTCATATACGTCTTAACTCAACACTGCGACTGGACCCCGTCAGTATGACGGTCACAGTGCGTAAGGAAAAAGAAAAAAGGAAGAAAAAAAAAGGAGGAAGTGAAAGAAGATGGAAAGCAATTTACCATCAAAACGAATGAACGAATTGTAAAGGGACTCGTTTGTCTCAACAGCGGAATCGCATCCTTATTTTCTGTACAACAGTAGCACTATTTGTCTCCACAAAAGATCTCCAGTTTTATTGCAGAGAAACAAAGTAACATTCAGAAAACGATCAGTCTTTCCTTTTTTCCGCGAAAACAGTTATAAATCTGATATAATTTGTGATAATCTGATCGGATAATAATCTGGCCAACAGTTCACAAAAAGGAAACTTACTGATTGCCGAATTCACTTGCAGTGAACAGAAATCCCGTTTTCAAAATGCACATAGCATTGGCCACTGGTATTGTGTCAAAATATTTGATCTTCAATTCCGTAACCTGGAAAACAAGGAATTTTTGTAAAAATTTATCATAAGATAAACAAAGATTTCACTGATTCCTCCTTTTGCCTGCGATAACAGTAGTAAATAACAAAGTATTTCGAACCAAATTCAAAAGAAAAGAAATCCCATATACATTATTAAAAATATGCTAAAAAAAATTCTCACCAACCATAAATATCGCCAAAAAAATTTGTCCACCCTACAAAAAAAGCCAAAAAAAAACTTTAAAATTAGAAAAAAACACCTACAATATCATGTTCGCTTTCGAGTGTGACCTTGAAAATATCACCCTGATCAGTTTGTACCAAGAAAAAATACATAAGTTTTGTTTTATGTGTTGCCGCACATACAATAATCACAGTACGATCGCAATCATCCAATTCATTCTGCAAAAAAAAAAATCTGATTTCTTAGCGTTTATTTTTTAAGTCCAATTATCAGTAGCCTAAAACCAGCTACGAAAATAGAAGAATAGAAGGATTTCACTTGAATGTCATGTGTATGAAGACATTTTATGGCGCAGTCTGTGTT